CCCTGCTCAAGTAGTACCACCAGTAGAACACTGAAAAGGAAAGGTTTTATAAGAGCAAATCTGCAATCTGTTTTTCTCGATCAAACACAAGGGATAGCCGAATAATCTACTGCGCTGCTTCAAGCGTGCACCAGGAGCCCATGCTCTGCAGCATTCATAGCAACCTTATTGAAGTAAATCACACCACATATGCGACCCATCAACACTGCTATGAGCTTTAGATTCTGTATATATTCGAAATGCGGAGGCGGATTTCGTTTTCATCTTACTCTAAGCTTCTCTTGAGTGCCTTTTTCTCTAGTGTAGCAAAGAAAAACTGCAATTTTCTTCCTAAGCGGGCAGATTAAGAAATGTGTGGACCAGAAATTGCATGTAACCATCTACATATATGCTTGCCAAAACATTCTTCATGTAACCTATGGAAAGAGATTTTACAAGAACGCTGGGCTATGAAGAAAGGTTTTGCCCCAGGTGGGATCAAAGCTTTCGATCATAATTTTGGAAGTGATTGAAGGTCGCAGTCGCTTACGACTATTGAACAAGAGCAATCAAAAATAAAGAAAGAGGTTTATTGAGATTTTTGATACTTCGTATATCTTCTGCTTCCAGTGGGAGGAAAATGGGTCTGCTACTCAAAATGAGGACCGACCTTGGCGAGCGTATAATCAATATTCCTTACTAACACGAGTGCGTTGAAGAAATAGCCCAATGTGCTAATCCGACATCGTAAAGGGCTCTCAGAAACTAATGAGAAAGTGCAATAGCAAGTCCCTTGCGACAGACACGTAAAATTGCCGTGTCACCAGCCGACGTGTCACAAAAGGTGCGCTCAAAGGCAGAATTTACGATGAAAAGTTAGCTCATTGGAAATAAGGGTAGAGGTGGTCAGTGGAGCAGGGATGAAGAAGAAACCATTTGAAACGGCCCGAAACCCGAGAAATGGGACCCTTCCTTGCCCGTTGATTTGCGCATTGATGCGACTCTCATCGCTGTGCCCTCTTCAACACTACGCTCTCTCTGCTATCTAATCACTCGCCACGTATAGACCTGCGGCGAGTGATTAGATAGTCGGTGGGCGTACCCCGCCAACCGCGCCAAGAGTGAGCCATGCTAGATCGCCGAGGTCAAATCTTTCGCTGCCAATTGCGCGTCGGTCAGCACCCTCAGGAGGTCCGCCTGTCTCCCAACTATGCAATTTCCCCTTTTTGACCTTCGTTCTTATCGGAGTTCCTCCTTTAAGTAGAATTATCACGCAAACATTTCCTTCACATTTGAGAGGAGGCTCTCCTTTGAATCCTTGCTTCCTTAGAAAAGCAGACAGCGCATTGGGAATTACAACATGCTTCCCGTAGCCCATGACGTCCAATACAGCTTCATTTACATTGCCAAACAAAAAAAAATCAAATAAGTTCGACACACCATTGAAAGCAGCAAACATAGCCGGAAACGCTTTGGCAGCAATGGCATCCACTCGGGCGCCCATATCAATATCCGTGTACGAGGGGTAGCCGTTTTGATAGTCCGGCATGCCGTTCACATAGCAGCTTTCACCACCACTAAAGGGGATAGTAATGGTGCATTGATAAGTATCTTTCAAAAATATGTCGAGACTCACTTCATGTGGTACCAAGCTTCATCCCCAGTTGTTGTTCACAGGATACCGTATACCTTTCATTGATCCACTTGATTTTTGCCTAAAAACATGATATAGATAGGAAGTCAAACTTTTATTTGCAGGTCACACTCTTTCTGTTTCTGGTATTCTTTTCAGGAACCACATACAAATACCTCTGCTAGGCTTTAAGAGTTCCCTTTAGGTCTTGTTCGTTTTCCAGCCGCCTTAAGAACAAAAAGTTAGTGAAAGTAATAAAATTTCTCAGATTTCACAGCAGGTTGCATTACATCAGTTCTACTTTCATGGTTGCTGCTGAAATTTACTTATACGAAGGGGGAAGATCGTGGAGACAACTCGCTTTAGAATTGTACACCTTAACATACGTTCTGGATGTTGAGCTCATAGGTGAATACGATGTCGGCCACATGATTCTTTTTGAAGTTTACAGTTATACAGGGAAAATGAAGAGATAATAGTGGGTCTACGCGTACGCGCGAGAGGCCGTCGGATCACTTATTGGTGAGTTTGCTAGCTTTTTTTCATCAGCGACATAGCCAGGAAGACTTTCTGACATCACTATACTATTACCACCTGCCTATAACTCTTCTTAACTGAAACGACGAGCAATTGAGGATTTTCTCGTGAAGATAACATCTGGAATAGCGCGGATGAAAAGAACATCATTAGTCCCTTGCAGGAGATTTCTTAGCCAAAGTGGAAATCAGCCCACTCTACGTTTCATGACGAATGCAGGAGTATAAACATTGTTTCGCCCTGCCGTGTTGGACTGTTGATTTTTCTTGTATATGTGCTCAGTCGTCGTTGGTTCGCCCCAGCGCGTGGATGGTAAAGGTATATTTCGTCTTCATCGTCTGACTTGATCTGCTTCATTTGAAACCCCCACAATTACCTAGTTTTGGTCTTGTTGGGGCGATAAATAAATAAATAAATAGATGAATAGGTAAACTAATTATGAAAATAAAAGGATAAAAGGATAAAGCATTTGCCGTTGATCAATCCCTTTTTGGGATGCGGCACGCATTCTACTTCCATTTGTACATTCGTAGTGGCGTTTGAATGCGATGTGGCCTATACAATGACTTGCGGGGGCCAGCCGATGTACAAGTCAGTGTTTTTATCCTCCCAGGACAAGTCTGGGGGTGGTACCAATTAACCGACCCCGGAGGGATGGAAGGCTTGGTTGGCCCGGGCGACTCACGACCCGGATTTGATCCCCGGACCGCTCGCGTGATAAGCGTGCTACTTGCCACTACACCACCTCTGCCCTTTAGATTCAATTAATTGAAACAAATTAAAAATATGCATGTAGATATGGTTGGCCAGCGGAACAGCAAGAAATAAGCGCCGTGGTAATAAGCAGATAATGTGAACGCATATCTCCGTCTAAGTCGTTGTTGCGAGGTACTTGAAAGACAGAAAAAAATTTACCTTCTGATTGAGATTTTGTGACCGCTGATATCGAAGCCTTTTAGATCGCCGTTTGATTTCTGCCATCTTGTCAACGAATCCTACCACTGCCAATTCCACTAAGGAGAAGAATATGAAGGCCACACAGACAAAGAACCATAAATCAATAGCCTGGAAGCAGTTCTTGTGAGAAGAATTCCCAAAATTCAAACGGCGGATATTACCTTCACAAAAGAGACACGGGGTAGATTTTTAACAATGTTTCCAAACTGGAAGGTCAATGCCATCAGTGATGAGACTCCAAGGGTGATTCGAGCCGGTAATGCTCGGGTGTCGATCCAGAAGGCAATCCATGAAATGAATACTGACAGATACGTGGGCAGATACATTTGTAGGACATAGTAGCCGTAGAGCCGCTTAAACCTGCAATCAACATTTTTGCAACAGATCATTTTATATGGTATCTTTACCATCGAAGCTGAGTTGTGGTGAAATGGTATCCCGGTAGTGTAACTGGTAGCACAATTGGCCGGAAAGCCATTGTACCAGTCTCGGCTGAGGAAAAAGTTTTGCCCACAACTCAGCATTCTTGTGTGAGTGCTGAAAGCTATGGTAGTATACCATGAAAAGCTGAGTTGGGATGAAATGGTGCCCCGGTAGCGTAACTGGTAGCGCACTTGCCCGGAAAGCGAGAGGTGCGGGTTCTAGTCCCGCCTGGGGCGAAAGTTTTGTTCACAACCCAGCATTCTTGTGAAACATTCTTTGATAGATCTTTTATAGTTAGCTAAGAAACGTGAGAATGCAGGTGCGATCAAATTTGACGGCAAGCTTCGGTATTAGGCTCACTAGTAGGAACCACTTCGCGAGTGAACGTGTTGGATCCGTCCCTACAGGGTCCCTACAGGGTTTGGTAGCACAAAATGCTCGTTTAAGACGCTGGACTTTACGGACTCACAACCACTGTTACGTCCCACCCACCGCGATTGGAGAACAGCGTACTTTCTCGTAGGGCGCGCTCTCTCGCGCGTTTTGTCATCTGTGGTCGCAGTGTCTCTCCTTCGTACCACATTCGGACACATTAGAAATTTACGTTAAAGGAATCTTCCGCGGAAAAAGCTCCGCCTCCATTACCACAGAAAAACGATACCTTAGGCCCCTAGCCTCATGAGCATAGCAAAAAGAACGGAACATAAGCGTTAGTTTCGATAATACTAATCCTACACACAAGACAAAATGATCACTCTTTCCGTGGAAGATTCCTTTAAGGTATCGTTTTCTGTGGTCAGTTCACTTAACAATTCATCCATCAACAATAAGCGCTCTTCTACACCGGTTGTAGCCCGGGGCTCACCTTCTGAGCATTGTATGGAACTCCTTTACTGTCCTATACACAGGTCCTGGATGAAAAATAACACAATCCATTGCAGTCATTCCACTTTTGGTAAGCACCATGCATTCTATACTTCCACTCGGAATCATCTTGGAAACTTGATTGCTGTCTGACCTTTCAATGACTAGCAAGGTCAGGTTACACAGTTCAGGCAAATCCCAGACAAGTCTGGTGCCAAGTGACCAAACTGGACGGGTAGAGACTTGGCCGAGGCAGGATCCAAAGATTCGATTTTCGAAGAGTTCGCATGGTAAGCGGCGCCTCTTGCCACTACACCATCCACGCACCAAACAATTTCCATAGTCTGTGAAAACTTTAAAGCCATTAAGTATTAGTGTTATTTAATTTGGTTGTCGGGAGAAGAATTATTTCTCATGGCTATTTTTTTATGAGGACCAACTTGTGAAAAAAAATGTTTCAGCAACAGTTGATAAGCGAACCCTAGTGGGCAATTCGGCCCGATATTCTTGTTCAATCATGGTCTTGTGCATTGAGCAAGAGTCGGGCAGACTACAGCTCAAGAGGCTTCGACTACTAATTGGGAGTTAAATTCCCCGTAATTTGAGTAGGAAAAGTTTAAAAAGGACAA